TCAGAATATTTAATTCATGCATGTTTAAATATAATTAAAACACGCATGAGCAATGCGTCGTCGTGGTATGAAATACAAAACTAAATTTAGAAAATTCAAAATTCGAGGTAATGTTTACGTTTTACTGAATTTCGTATGCGTTATGTATTCTTTAAATATTGCCTTTGTTGTTAAATTCTCGAACCCTTGCCTAAAATAATTTGATAATACATCCCCCTCCATTATGAGATTCACGATAGTAAATTTTGAACCAATTAATTCTTAACTTAATATTTCTAAGAGAAAAACCGTGTTTTCAAGCTAAATTTATAACTTTGAACTTTGTTCCATCCGTTTTAAATTATTTTAAATTAAAGACATAGCCTTTAGATTTTATTTTTGAATGTCAAACATATTTTGATTTAAATTTCAATGAAATTACTGCTAGTTCATCGGGCTTTAACGATTTTATTTATTTTTTTGCATACAATAAATAATCCAAAAAAAATTTTATTTGCTAATCCAGATGGGTGGTATTAAAGTTTTCAATATGCATCAGAACATATCCAAATGAAGGTAGTGTATACTTTGTGCTACGTACGAATAAAGCAAAACAACGTGAATAAAGTACAAATGAGGGAGCAAAAATGAATATATTATAGTTTCGGATTTATAAACAAGAACCTTCCTCAGTTTCTAATCGTAAAATGGTCTAAATCTTAAAGGACATTAAAACTTACATACAACGGAACATTCATGTTTATTGAACTGAAACTATAGTATGTCCATTTTTATTTGTGCTTTATTCATGTAAGGCTGTGATTACAGATTGCATCGCATCTGATAAAAAGACATTTTGTTTTTACCTTTAAAGTCGTCAATAGTCTCAACTTCCTAAAGGATTCATATTCCACTAATTTTGAGCTACGATCTCAGTTAGCCAATAGACAGGAGACACTGCGTAATGTAGACTCGCATACCCTTTAATGTTTTTTTTTTAACATATGTGAATTTTTAGCACAATATAACATCGGTATAAACGGTTCTCAAACTTCAGAAAACCCTAGTAACTATTCACAATTCTTTTTTTTTTTTTCTTTTCATTTTGACAACTGATAAAACACCATAAAAAAAAGTCCTTCTTTTAAGTGCCCTAGACAGCTTGCCAGTGAAAGGAACAAAAAGTAGAATCCATTAGCATTCGGTTGCAGTTATTTCTCACGAAAAAGAATAAATGTAGTAGGATTAAATGGTTCGCAATTGTGTTAAATAAAGTTGACATCTATATGAAATAGATGTATGAAACTTTCTGGTGACGACTATCTTTCTTATTTTCAAAAGAAATTATAGAAAAGGTCTGCTGCAATTTATTTTGCTGTTAGTCGATATTTATTACTAATGTGTTCTACATTTTTTTAGAAATACTGTTGAATTTTTTTTCTTCTCTTTGCTGGCTAGATTATTTATTGAATTTCGTGTTTTTGGTCTCAATAGCTTGCGCGACACTATAAGTTTAGTATAAATACATAGTTAGTTTAGTTTTAATGCATGTAAACTTCAAAATCTCGATATTGAACTTAAAGAAACCAGGCAATCTTACAAATAAAATTTAGATGATGCTTGTAATATCTAAATTATTTTAAGGTGGTTAGGATACTTAAAATTACGCAATTACAAACTGCATGCTGTAGTTACAAGTTGAAAACATATAGGCTAAAATTTAAAGATTATTTAGCACTATCTTTAAAAACACATAAGCTCATGAAATACACCGTCATTCATTGATTTCAATAAATCTATTGTTCTTTTTTCAGTTTTTCCTTGAAATATAATCTTTATTCCTTGCACAGTTTAACAAGCACAAAACACTTTGTTTTCCTTTCAACAATATAACATCTATTTAAAGTGGTTACTGATAAGAACATAATAAAATTTGTATTCTTTGCACTAAAATAACTACCTTTTGAAGCGGTCATTAAAAAGTAGACAATCGAATAAGTCTTTTTTCAACCAAAGTAACCACCTTTTGGTGGTTACTGAAAAGTGGTTACTGAAAAAAGTGGTACTTACAAGTGGTTACTGAAGAGGAAACAATAGAATTTGTCACCATTTAACCAATGTAAGTACACTTAAAAGTGGTAGCCGAAAGGAAGACATTAGAAGTAGTCTTTCTCTCACCAAAGTGACCTCTTTTTGAAAATGTTACTGAAAAGAACACAATATTCTTTTCTGTCTGTCTTCATATTTCACCAAAGTAAGTACACTTAACAGTGGATCTTCAAAGAACGCCACTAGAATTAGTTTTTCTTTTACCAAAGTAACCTTCTTTTGAAGTGGTTACTAAAAAAAAACAGAAGAATTAGCATCCATTTTACCACAGTAAATGCACTTAAGAATGGTTATTGAAAGGAAAATAATAGAATTAGTTTTTCGTCCACCAAAGTAATCTCCTTTTGAAGTGATCACCATCGCGCCCACTTGGAACATTCTGTGGTTGAGTTTGTCAAATATTTTGCTTTCAGTATTATTCCAATTGCAGAGCATCACCTCCCATAGATGGTTTCGGAATGGTTTATTGAAATATTAGGAATTCTTTGAGCAAGTTATATCTCTGATACACCTGTTCAAATGTTTCCTAATAATTCAATAATATTTAGCGTGTAGTTATACTGTGACAAAGAAACTCCTAGACAGCTGTAATTTTTTCGTAACTTATGAATGAACTATAACATTAATAAAATCTATTTTTATTTGTTAAACAATCTTTCTTGATGGTTTTCACGATACTGCTTACTAAAGTATAGTAGTTCAATACAGAAGTAAAATTACGTTTAGTTTGCATGCATTCATTGTTCCTGGAAATTATAATTCATTTTTAAATCACTTCAGTTTTGTTCCAATAATTTTGTTAGAGTCAATTTCATTTGATAGGATAAATTGGCCCAAAGTACTATAATTTCTGCGGAAAAATGACTAGGACAAAATAATGTTCTTAAAATGTTTTTCCTTCTAATAGCCATTAAATCTTTGAATTAATTCATATGCTAAAAATACATACGTGTGGCGAATAATAGTCTAAAAAATGTATCAGAGAAATACTCGTATTTCCTGTTTTACTATCAAAGGTTTCATGAAATAATTGAGAAAAAAACGGGCCAAAGTAAGGTGCTATGAAGTGCATCTTCAGTTTTTAGTATTTTATTCATCCCGCAATTTTATATAATGAACAGAAAAAATGGAGTCAAAAACATGCTATATAATAGTTATAATAAATATGTCTCGACTTACGAAAAAAAAATTGATTCAATTTGGGTTACAAGAAAAATTTTATTCCTCACATTGCTTTGATATTTACCTCTTAAGGCGTTTCATAAGCAATTTAAGCACGCATATAAACACCAGAGAATCTTTAAAAGATTGTTTTGATTTCGCTTTTCGTTTAAAGCATTCTAAACGTCTGCAATTTTATACAACATTTCATATTGTTCTAAATGTCACGTAAAGTTGCAGTGAGATGTCATTCCCAATAAATTTGCACACTCATTAATCGCTGCTCTGATGAGGCGACGTTGGCAATGAAAAGATAGATTTGATGGACGCTTATTTCTTTTTTTTCCCCTTCTACCCCATTGATTTCGGCTAAAAATTGTGGGAAACGGATTTTGACATGTCAATTCTATCAGCAGTAAGTTTTCCACTCAAATTAAACTTAACTAAGACTGTTTTTTTTTCTTTCTCCCTCTAACTTTTGTCTGAAAGCATCATGAAAAGCAGCAAAAAAGACTCCGTCAAAAATTTGAATTAACAAATTAAGATTGGAGATGGAGTCATTTTAAGTTTTCAAAGTCAGAATACATTTGACAATTTATCACTTACATTTTTACCCATGAATTCTATAAATTCCTCTCACTCACAAATCATTGGCAGTGATGTGAGATGACTGCACCAAATGTGACAGAAAAAGAATGTAATACAAAATTAATTAATTTGTTTCAGAATAAAATTAGTTTATCAGGAGTGTAGTGCGTGGGTGTGTGTGTCATGTTACAAAAAGTCTATTTATTTATCATAAGCTTTCAAATAAACGTAAGAAGCGTTCAAAACGAAGTGTTAAAATGTAGATTTCATAACTGCATCAAACCCTTTGAAAATTAATTTAATAATTTACGAACAGCAAGGGAACATGCGTCTAAACATTTTAAAATAGTTAGACCCATAAAAAGTAAATGTCAATCAAAATAAGTTAAGACAGATCACACTATTGTAACTTATTTCTGTTTATTACTGATAATGAATGTTTTCTTATATTTTCGTTTTAAATACCGTAATATATGTTAGCTATAGTGTTAATCTATGGTGCTATTTACGAACAAATAATAAATGGAGGAAATTTATTAGCAATGAAATAAATTAGTATCACTCAGAGTTCCCATGGGTTTTAAAAATTTTCCAAAATTACGAGAAAAATGAATCAAATAATGATATTTTTACATATTTGAAAAAATTATTACATGTTTTTATAGAAAATATATCTGTGAACTGAATCAAATAACAGTGCTATCATAAAATCATAACTTCTTACTAGCATTTACGTTAAGCTATGTAACTATTAATAGCAATAAAAGTTTTACGAGTGTTTGTCCTCAAATATTAAACCGTTCTTTCAGCGTGAAAACTATGCTAACTTCAAAATATTTAGTCAAAACTAATGCTTGAAGTAAGAAATATAACAAGTTTTTTTTGCATAAAATTCTATAAAAAGCTGAATTCTTAGACCGATTCCTGATCCAAATTTTAAACTTTAATTGTTGTATAAAACCTATTATGTGTCAGTAACTAATAAATTAGGCAAAATTTTAACATATTCTTTATTTTTTATATCGTGAAAACACAATTTGTCTAACAAATCTAAATGAGCACAGACTAGTTAAGTTTTAATTTTTTTCTCACACAAAGTTCATCTCTGTTAATGATGACCATTCGACGCATGCTCAAAATCGAGAAGCGGATACGTCCGAAGCAGACGATTCGGAAGATGGAGATACTTCAAGTAATCCTTTATTTTTCACTTACTCTTCACGCATCTTGCTTGATTTTCGAATCGTCTGCTAACTTAAGTTTCAAAAGGAGAAAACGATTTGCAGCATATGATTACGATGAATTTTTATTGCAAGATGATTACGACGAAGATTACAGTGAGGAATTTCCCGGAACGTGGAATCTTCCAAACACTGACATGTAAGTTTATATTAAAAATCCTATGAATTAATTAATTTTAAAGAAATAGTTTACAAAACTTGTTAACATATCTTTTTTATGTCCTGAAATAAATCGATAAATATGAATTTTTTTAAATAATCAATTGCAAAACTTACATTTATTACAAAAGTTATTACATTTCTAAAAGAAAAAAAAACATATAGTACCTGCGTGTTTGCAAGTGTGCAAACATAAGCAAATTTAATTTTTATTTATTTATGTTCTTCGAATCAAATCTTAATCAAAAAATTGTAAAAACAAAAGTGTCTATAATCTTTTTAATTTTTCAAGAAATCACCTTGGATAATTAAGCTTCGTAATTAAATTGAATAACTACATCAAAATTATGTGAAATTTGTTTTTAAAAATCAATAAATGATTTCAAGACAATACATTTTGCCATTCGAGCAAGCAACCTTTTTCATTATTATTTTTGAAAAAGCATATAAAATTTCCGGTCTTTATGATTTACGGAAGAATTTTTTTCTTTTTTACCTAAGATCTTACAGTCTTTTTTTATACATTCTATTCTTTGCTTACTTTCTCTCCATATAAAATTAGTTGAAGAACTTTTTATTCCAGGAATACAAATTTTAAACTTAAAAAAGAGCGGTGGTGTTATCGATTTTACAGCGTCTCTCGCCAACAGTTTGAGCATTTTTTGTGGAAGAATTTGGCAAAAAGTAGTGAAATAATATCTATATTTGTCCAATTTCAAAAGTTACAAAGATACCCGAAAAAAATTCAAAATTTTAACCCTTACAGACCTGATGCAATTTGAAATTATTTTTTTCTCTTTATAAATAGCTAAAAACGTAAAAAGTGCGAGGAAAATTATTCTGTTTCGCGCGTTAATGTAGGAAATAAGGATAATCCATGCTCACTAGTATAATTTATGAAATTTGAGATCTAATTTTGTGTTTTAATATTGAAAAAATGATATCGTTTAGAGAAGAAAATGCTTAACTTAACGTTAAATGTTTTAAAATGTGTAAGTTATCACTGTGTACATTTAGGGTTTATAAATAACTCGCACAATCAAGGGGTCTTAAAGGGTTAAGAAAAATAGTCTCTTAACCCTTTGCACTCAAATGTCACCTCTGAGAGGCCATCAACCGTCACCACTCTAAAATTAAAAATTTTTTATCCCTTAATAATTAGTGACCACAATATTTCAAGAATTTTAAAAATTATTTTAAAATATTATTGTATTATGTATTTTAAATTATTTATTGTTATATTAGTTCAAACAGCATTTTTAGGTATTCGGAGAGCAAAAGGTTGAAAATGAGTTAAAATATGATTATTTAANCAAAACACAATTATGTGCCGAGTTTCGTGCCTTGGCGAGGCTTCTGGGGCGATATATTGTGATTACAGACAGACTGACACACACAGCCGCTTTTATTATTATGTATAGATAAATAATTTTAGAGAAAAATGTCACTCTGAATACTACTATTTAGCATACTGTCGTTGATTTTCACACATTTTTTGCGTAAGTTTAATTTTTTGTTAAAAGTAATCGAAATGTGCTTTTTATTTTTATTTCTTGCACTTATGAATTTAAATGATTTTGACCGTCACTTCTGTTAAATAAGTTGAGAAAATATGAGATATAAATTTAGTTTAAGTAAGCTCGTTTAATTAATGTATATTTACATGCATATTCATAAACAATCGTTCAAGCTAATCTTACAATGATTTTTTTTTGAAAATTCAGTCAAAATTAAACAAATTCTGCTTACTTATGCTGTTTTTCCCTATTACTTTAAATATTTCGAAGAGCAAAGACAACCATGCAGTTATGATTTCTTCATTGATATTATTTACGAATTTTTTTTAAGTATTTATATACTTGATTACTTACCTTAACTCATTATGTATAAAAAAATCGTGAACCAAATAACCACAACTAATTGCAAGTTAAACTACTCATCGCAAACTAAATAACTAATTATGTTTAGTTTGCGAGTGTCTGAAATGTGTGTAACACATTTCCACATTTAAATTGTGCTTAAACGTAACTTTAATCATTTATTTTGACAGTAAGTCTCCTTGTTACGATGAAAACAACCTTCCGCAGCGATGCACGCCAGAGTTCTCAAATGCAGCTACTTACAGAAACATCCAAGCTACCAATACTTGTGGAGCAGGTCCAAAGGGTCCCAGAGAGTTTTGTCGTCAAATGGGCACACAGTGGGCCCGTGCCTCATGTGAGGTATGTGACGTCACGATACCTCACAGATCTCACCTACCTCACCACATGACAGATTTCAACACCTACCGTAATCTTACCTGGTGGATGAGTGAAACTATGGAAGATGGTCCCGACTATCCAGGACAAGTCAACCTCACTTTGGATTTTAGTAAGAAACAAATTTAATACATTGAAATCCAATTTATTTAAGTACCAGATAATAAAGAGGAAACTAGTAATAAGTTTTTGAATAAAGATAATCGATTTATTTCTTTTTGAGTCGAGTAGTTACCAAATTAAATTTGATGCATTACTACATTATCATTTATAGGGTGTAAGTTATCAATGAATTATCTTTTTCTGAAATACACTGATAGCAACATACTTTTGTCACCATTTTTTATTTATTCGACATAAATGCAGGACGAGTCTCACTTGTTGATACCACTTGGTTAAGCAAGACATTTCTCAATTAAATTTTAAAACTCAAATCTTAGACTTTAAGTTCTTACGCCTTGCAAATTGTGAATTTTTTATAAACGCATGCAAAAATAATTTAATGATTTTTTAAGAAATTTTTCAAAAAAATAAAAAATGTCAGAGTACAAGTTAGGAATTAAAATGCAAATTGAAATTAAACAATTCTTGTAATTTTATTGAAATGTGTTCTCAGTTTTCAAAATCAATTTTAAAGAATACGTTTAAGGGTTAAATTACGTTAACATAACGTTAAAAATAACAGTTGTCGGCACTTATAGGATAAAAAGTGGTAATATATTTGAGTTAAAGTAAAATTAATATTTTTTCTGTTAGTTATCTTACTTTAATTTAAATACTTACACGCTTAATGGTTTTAAGCTTAAGTGAAAATATTTTCATAATTTATCGTTCTCATCTTTATGATAAATTGGTATATACGACGTCTTTCCCAAAAACAACTACATTTTTTCTCTCGTTCAATTAAAAGTTTTTCTTAAAAGTAATGTTTTAATATTGATTTGTGATTTACTAAACCCGGTTTAGAAAGGTTTTGGCTACCATGACGTATAAGCATATAATTTTAAATGCATGTGAAAAGCTTTAAATTTCAAAATTTTCATATATTAATAATTATTAACCACACTATTTCATAAATATAAGAAATTATTAAAAAAGTACTGTCCTATGTAGTTTAAATGATTTAGTATTTACAATAGTTCAAACAGCATATTAAAGTACTCGCAGTGCAAATGATTAAACCTTCAATTTCTGAAAATTCATTTCTTATAAAATGTATTATTTCACTTTTTTTCGCAAACAGTAAGTTTCATTGCTTGTTAGATAAAAAAAAATTTTTGTTATGAAATATTTACTGTGTTTAGCAGAAATGTTGTTGAGAAAGTTCGTTGGCATTTTCTTCGAAAACTGAAATGGAATTGAAACCTTGTTTTGAATCCAAGGGCTTAAAGACCATCCATACTTTTATAACCATTTATGAACTTCTGGCTGCCATGTAAAAAGAATTCTGAATTTTAAATTTACATCTTGATAATCAGCAACTTCTGTATTTAATGATCATAAACTAGTTAAATAAGATTGTATTCTGTTTCGTTTTAAATTTTTAAATCTTTACATTTTTTCCATTTAATGTTCTTGAATACATTTAACGTTTCGTTAATTAATTTTGCCTTTTAAAATTTGTTTATTTTACAATTTATTTATTTAACGAGTTCATAATTCCCAAAAAAAATGAATCGTAAATAATTTTTAAGTTAGTTTTTTTATGGCAAAAACCCTACACTTATAAATAAAAAATACCATCTGTTTTAGTAAAATTAAAAGCAACGAAGACTTATTCTACTCTTTAAAAGAAATTATGATAACAACCAAAGATATAAATTTGACTTATAATTCAAATATTCCATATCAAAAAATTTTAATATTGAAATCTACATCCTGGTTCTTAAACAAGAGAATGAAATTCGAAGGGAATTGGCAATGGCTCAAATCTCCCTTTGCGGAGATTCGCTGAATCTGCAAAGATGACCTCTTTTCAATCCGGAAATACATAAAAGGATAACATAAAAAACATTCAAAATGGCTCCAGAATGTCCGGAGTCTAGAACCATTCTCGGATCGATTCCCTCTTTTGCTATTTCCGAAAATAGGACCTAATTGAATAAATACATCGGGAAAAATAATAATTTAGTTGAATAAAATGGTTAAATGTAGTTTAATTATGCAAAAAAATTGCAACGCTATTTATATGAGATCACCCTATTTTCCCAATTTAATATATTATTTGCTGTCCTGTTGTTTGCATGTCCTGTCCAAATACGTCCAGTTTTTAAGCTTAACAGTAGAGATTTAAAATTTAACTTTCTGGCGACTGCTTACGAGTTTTTTGGGTTTCTTTTTATGCTATAAATTATTTTAAATCTAAATCATGTATATAATTCCTACAAATCTAATGAATTGAACTTCATGAATTTTTTATAATTTTATAATTTTTTGAATGCTTAAAAATTAAATGCAACGGTGAACAAAAATTTAGTACGATGAAAATTTATTTTTAAAGCATTCAAATCGAAACATAGTTAATTCTAAAATTGCCAAAAACCACCTTATTCTGATCAAAGATTAGATTAACCCATTAACAGAGGTTGAAGGCGCCTTAAAAAGAGCATTTAAATTAAAGTATATATTAATACAATGTAAATATATTTCATTATGATTTAGATACAACCTTATGATTTGATATATCCTTGACAAATGCATCTCATAATGACATTCCCATTTTAAGAAAAAAATAGTGATTCATATACTCTTAATATATTTCTTTTCAAATACTAATTAAGACCTTTTATTTTAAAACTGCTATTGTTATATATATATATATATATATATATATATTAAATAATTACCATGGCATTTTTTGCTGACTCTTTTATGAAATGTAAAAGCATAAAAATGTGGCATGTTATTTTTTAGCTAGAAGATCTTCTCTGGAATGTAAAGTATTATAAAATTTAACTAAAAATTATAATAAAATCTACTTTGTTATTAAAGACACCATAGAAAAAAATGTAATGACGTTAACATTTTTAACCCGATGAAATGTTTTTAAAACAAACAAATTGGAAGCACGTTTTTCTATTTTTTTTTTCACAGCTGCTGAA